ATCTATCTATATCTATATATCTATCTATATCTATATATCTATATATATCTATATCATATCTATATATATCATATATATATGACATTACAGTAAATTTCCAGAAGCATTTTTGCCATTTGGAGTTTTAGGACTTTTCTATTTTGAAAAATCTTAAAACTAGACCTGAATGAGAATGTAGTGCATAGAAAGGACTGTGAAGTAGCTGACTAACACTAGCAAGTTAGAACAGAAAAATCAAATTTGGCTCTGTGGTGTAATGTCATTCTACCTACCAAATAGCCTACCATACCAACAGTAATCACCGAGCCAAATATATTATTAGGCTTCTACTTCTATCTTATCTTGATGAGTGTTGATGATTGCCATTAAGATAAAATTAGTTTTAAAAATGCTGATGAATCAGTCCTTTTTTATGGCCCTAGATTGTTATGGCTAAAGTCTTTAATTTTTTGCTTGGTAACCTTGTTTTGTACTGTCACACCCTTTGACTTTGATGCAGAAAAGCAAGCATTAGACAAAAAATAGAGCCTGTGGGTGTTGACCATAGCTGCATCCCCTTAAAAGTAAAAGATCTAAGTTAAATTTTGGTTGGTAGGCTACTTTGAATTTGTAAGTTTCTTCAGTCTCATTTGCAATTTACACATGACTGATATATTGTCACTATCAGTCTGCTCCTAACACTAGCAGTGATTTAGACCATTTAATTGCATTTCTAAAACGTTTCTGAATAAGTATGAAATGAATATTAAAATTTGGGTTCTCTATTAATTTCTATTCTATAATAAGGACTCTTCCAAGCGAATCGTCTTCTTGGGTGACTCATACTATACTACAACAAGTACCAGGTGTTTGAGATTATGAACGAGAGTAACATACACAAAATAGAAGGTGAGATAAAGATAGATATTTTTTTAGTTTTAGTAGAGGTTTTACGGCGCTCGCAACTGCATAAGGTCATATAAGCGCCAGAAGAGGTGTTACAAGAGAGTAAAAAAAAAAAAAAAAAGAAGGGGACGATAGATGTTTGATAAGAAAGGAGCAAACCACACCAGAGCATCCGCCAGCTGTAAGTATTGTCGCACAACCCCATGAAATACAGTGTGAAAAGAGGCACAGAACAATCAGTTACTCCTGTAGCTGAATTCCTGAACAAAGCCAGAACACATGCTAGAGAGCCATGTCTGCTTGTAAATGTAACCCAGACTCGGAATACCACCATTACCGTTACGTTAATAAAGCACCGAAGGACATTCCAACCCCAGCACTTATTGAGAAGAAAAGTGGCTGAATAGGACGTTGTCATTACCCCCCCCCCCCCGAATGAAAGAGATCCTTCAAAGCACATTTGGTTGTACTACATAATACTAGGCCTACACCATAATCATAAGCAGCAGTCTTTTTTCATCTTTAGCTCCAGTAAGAGTGTTACTGTACTTACAACATATGGTCAGTGCGAAGATTAGGCGTTACAAGAGAGAACATTAGCAATAGCAATAAACAAAAAAAGTAAGAGAGACCATGATCATCAAGATGATACATGTCTAAACAGAAAAGGAGAAAGCCAGAGTACCCGCCAACCACCCATTGCAATAAAGCAGACACCTCCCACATGTGAAAAAAAAAAGAGGCCATCTTTTACACCAGTTGACACATTTTTAGGTCATTTAGAGGGCTAGCTTGCAACCTTGCCAGAGAGTGTCACTGTCAGGGCCAACCCAGCTGAGGACACAACATCCCAGCAGAAAGATGGGAGATTTTTTATTTTTATTTTTAGTGGAGGTATTACGGCGCTCGCCACTCTAGTCCACATTGAATTGCCGGACTGCTACACCACAGATGCTGATTCAGACAACCATTTCCCTATTGTTTGCTTGAGTAAAGAGAAGCATTTCGACATATAAGTAAATGGCCATATAGAGCTGAGAAAAGTAAGACAAGACACAATAAAGGGAAAGTAAAGAAGTAGACCTACCAAGGACTAGTGGCACCTTCAAACCACACGCCCAGTACCTAACAACACATGCAACAAATGAAAGAAGGAAAACAACAAGGTGGGAAACTGTGCGACAAAATTTTATTTCCACATCTATTTGGTCTTCTTGGACTTCATCTTTCTAGCGTAGAACTCCAGCTCTTTGCCTTCCAGGATGTAACCATCGACACGGCCGCACTGTCCTGGCCGAGAGGAGATCTTGGCTGTTGGAAAAAAGAGAAAAACAATAAGTAGAGCAAAACAACATTTAAAAAGTGAATGAATAAAAAAGATCTTTGTAAGTTTGTTTGTTGCTTTAGCTGAGCTGTTACAGCGCTCGTAACTGCATAAGGTCATATGAGTGCCAAGAAGTTGATGTAGAGAGATAAGTCCATACAGGGAATCAGGATTACTCTGCTCACCTCTCTAGCTTTAACATCACAAAGTGCTTTGGTTATCAAGGCACCCCAGAAACAGCGGGTCACAAGAGAGTGACAAACATACAAAAGAAATAAAAGGAAAAAAATGACGATAGTAGGGATAAGAAAGAAAAAAGTTACGAGCATGACAATGATGAATCACCCCATTTACAATTCTACTGTGCATAGCCAAAAAATACTTCAGTCAGTAGTACCGCTCCGGGGTGAAAAAAGACGCATGCAAAAGATTTAATAATAATAGACTTCATAAAGAGCAAATTCCCACTAACAGTAAGCTCTTCGCGCTTTACAATCATTATTACCCCAGCAGACAAATCTCTAAAAGAACAATTTTCCCCACCTGAAGTTAACCAGGCCAGCAAACAACTGGGACAACACAAAGTTTAGTTTACAAATGGAAGGTGGTCTGTGTAACTATGACATGAGGTTCCCTCAGAAATAAGAACTGCCTGAAGAATACAGACGTTCTAAATCAGGGACTCGAATATCATCATTCCACCGCATAAAACAATATTAGATATATAACAGCACAGTATTTCATGTAAAGTATACCGGTAATGTATCATTTAAACAGGAAAGAACAAAGCAGCATAGCCATTATTATTGCACAAATGTAAACAAGCCATTGGTTCTACCCCCTTACGCACACACAGTGACACGTACAAAATGTTCCTTCCACTATAAAAAAATAAAAATTGAGCACGCTATATCCCATTTATAACGAACAATCGCAATCAACATACTTGAGCAGTCAGACCCAAGGACTTTGCTATAACCAAATGTCTCCAAACCGCAACGGTTAAGACGGTAAGCCTATTTCTAAACCCTAAGCAAGGGGAGGTAACCAAGCAACAGAAAAAACCCAATAATACTAAACAAATTCTAAACCTTTATAAAAAAAATGAAAATTCGAAAGAAATGAATGTAGTTTGAGAAAAAATATAGATCTACTCAATAATTCTATTTGTGCAGATTCTTGGAATGTTGTTACTTTACTTCAATAGGGTATCCGACCCGTCACTCTCAACCTTGTGAACCTTGGATCTAAACTCTTCATTTGATTAATCTGGATCGCCCCAAACTCTTGCTTCAACCGTTTCACCAGGAACTAGTTCATCATTTGAGTCTCATCATGGCAAGACTGTTTCTACAGACGCCTGGTCAGAGTGAACGATTCCAGGGTGTTCTTTCAGAGATATGTCTGCTGGCATAATGATTCTAAAGCGCAGAGAGCTTACTGTTGAGTGGGAATTTTCTCCATACAACTTCATATTGCCATTGTGTAACTTCTATTTTGAGTCTGGACAAAAACTACCAAACAAGGTTGAGCAGAAAGCAAGCCCATCATGTATCTTTCCTCACGCGCCCCAACACAAATTTATCTCCCACTGAAACAAATACACCTGAAGACATGGGCTAATACTACCTGCATACTGTGTATTTTAAGAAACAATTAGACAGGCAATGGAAAAGGCAGTCAGTGTAACTATGACATGAGGTTCCCTCAGAGAGAAGAACAAACTGAAGAATACAGTTGCTCCAAATCAGGGACTCAGTTATCATCACTCCACCTTCCAACTTTATACAGTGGCCCAAAGTTTGATTTTGAAAAATTTCCGAAAAAGTTTGAACCAGAAAGGAAACGTGTTTTGGTAATATTCATGTCACTGTCCCATTTTCTGATTAACACATCGTGAGGTTGTCGCAATTGTGAACATGGGCACTGGAGGCCCAATTATGGGTAAGGAACCACCTGAAATGGTTCAAACTCTTAAACTCACTCGCTGCCGGAGCCATAGCTCATAAAAAGCCGCTACATGTCAGCTTTTTAAAAAAAAACCTATTTTCAAAATCCAGTTACACTGTACCTATTTATGTCAGATTTATGAAAATTGACCAGTTTCAGTAGTTGCTGAGCTTTACAAAATAGAATTTCGACTCATCTTATTTTGTTCATGTTTTATAGCTTTTCAAAAAACGACAAATTCTGGTGTCTAAAACTTTTCTTTTTAGCCAAACTAGCCAGTACAATATTTTTGCTCTGTTTTTATGGAAGTGTTGAAGTTTCTGTCCTAAAGTACACACAAAAATAGGTAACAAAACAAAGAAAACTAAACTGGTAAGTTTATGAAGACAGAATACTTAAACTACACTATTTCAAACATCACCGCTTGAATCATGAGTTGTCGTACCAGACTCAGTACAAGATTCTAGCTCCAACTGCTGTCGACAGGTGATCTACCTCTTTCTCTCATCTCGACTACCACTATTTTGCGCTTCATCATCTGAACCTGAGTCCATTCAATCATAATGGATTCAGAACCTCTAAAATTATGAGCCGTTTTCAATTCATATCGACACGAGTGTTTTGCAGACTTCGACCGCCCGACGTTCAAAACAAAACCCAGAAATAGGACAAAGGGAACTCCTGTTAAAAAAACCCAAAAAACTGAACTTCAAGGGAAATCATTCTAATAAAGTGAAACTGCCAAGAGTGGTCAAAGGGATGTTACTCTAGTAATTGGGCTATGCCGTTGCCACATGTGTCGGCAAATAGTAGAAATAAAGAGGAAACTACGCCACCGACAGTGAGAGTTAATATGAAGAATTTCTTACTGCCCCAAACAAGAATCAAGACCCAGAATTGGGAAAGACAGCAAACAGTCTAGGAACTTGTTTATTCCGTAATATATGCGCATTTTTCAAGAAGTACTCCGATTAATTCTCAGGGATGCTGCTCAACTTTTTTGAAAATAGCTGAAAATCCACGCACCAGTCTCACTAACATATGAATATCAATTTGAAATCCAAAGGGTGCCGAGATTAGCGCAAATCTGCAGGTTTTTTCCCCTCCCCGTTATTTGAACTTACGGCAAAGTCTTCATTTTGCCGTTAATTGAACATTTGGCACAAGTTGTGTGTGTGTGGGCTTTTTTTCTTCTTCAAACTATAGATTCTATCTTGATCTCAATAACGGAATAGCGGATCAGGATCAAAATACCGGAAAAAAAGCGGAAAAGTGGCATCCCTGAATTCTGCTGTCGAAGGGGTAAGTGAGAACCCTCAAATATTTCTGCTTACCATAGACTCTGCCAGCAGCAAACTGCTCATCCAAGGCAGGCTCCACCTTGGCAGTCTTCTTTCTTTCATCGTATTTCTTCTGCGTCTTCTTAGAACGCACCTTGTTCAAGACAGCCTCGTCTTCTTCAGACTAAAGAGAGAAAGAGAACACAAGTTACTATTGTTCGTTAAATTTTGGGTAAAGAGAGGCATATCAACATAGTAACAGTCAATTAGTGCAGGGAAGAATTAACACTGAAACAGGAAAAAAAAAGGGACACACCAGCCCTCAAACCACCCAGCTCCAATATGGAACCAAATTGCTCTGTAGTAAAATGGTGTGTGAGTGTAGTTTAGTTTTAGTAGAGGTTTAGTTTAGTGGAGTTTTTTTTATTTTTTGTTTTTACAGCAGAGGGTTTTACGGCGCTCGCAACTGCATAAGGTCATATGAGCGTCAAGGGGTGGGTGTCAACAGAGAAGTCTTTACAGGAAATCAGACTTATTCTGCTAACCTCTCTAGCTTCAACAGCACATGGTCTAAAAATGTCCCCCCTTTGGGGAATGGTCTAAAGACACTACAGCCAGTGGCACTATGGCGCTCGCAACTGCATAAGGTCATATGAGGGCCAGAAGATTAGAGGTGTTACAAGAGAGTAACAAACAAAAAAGAAGAAGGGGAGATGAGGACGATAGATGTTTGATAGGTAGGAGAAGAAGCAAACCACATCAGAGCACCCACCGTGTAGGTGTGTGTCCTGTTTATGTGGTGAACACTACAACGTACCACACTGTCAACTCGAAAGACGAAGAATACTTTTGTAACTTTGCTTTAAAGTCTTGCTCAAACCTATCCTAGTGTACAAGGGGTTATGCCAAAGGAAGCATCTGCTCAAAAACAGGAAAGTTTAGAACAGCATTGGTTCTTTACCCGTATACTAGCAGAGCAACATATTTAGAACATAAGTCCCTACCGCAACTGACGAAAAAAATTGTAAAGCCCACCTTCTTTCTTTCTTTTCAAATATTGATCTGCTAATAAACACCAGACCAGCTTCATTTAATGGGAGGGGAAGAAACTAACTCTCATCCCTTAATGATGATGTTAATTCAAACATATAAAATTTTCTTTTCAGATTGGAAGAAAGTAAGCGCTGCATTCTACATCTAGTAGTCCTTTTTCTGTACTCTCCAGTTCGTGGTCAACAAAAAGGGAAAAATGTATAGCAGACAACACACTACTCCAAAAAACCCCCAACAAAACAAAAACTTACCAGTTTTACACCCTTCTTGCGACCCAGGGGAGTAGCATAGTGGGCTTCGTACCACTGACGGAATGGTGTAGAGTCAACCTGCACAACACAGCTCTTCACCAAGGTCTTGGTACGCACAGCCTCATTGTTAGAGGCATTATACACCACATCAATGACACGGGTCCTGCGTGTGATAGCTGGAGAGAAACAGAAATGGAAAAATGAAGTTCACAAGATGAAACTAAAAACCTATAGGCAGCTGTGTAATTCAGCACAAACAAGACATTGCAATACCCCGACAAATCCCCATGCAATCCATTCTGTCAAACCTCAAACAACAAGACCCGCCAACCATTTTAAGTTTTGTCAGTGTACGAAAAGGAACGCCTAAAATACACACAGTATTTGCATCTTTACACCGTCATCTACCTGGGTTGTGCAGCCCTTGTTAAATTCACGTTAAATTTTCCCACTTTACCGCCAGCAAATTGACCACCACTAGCAGTGGGTCAGGATTGCTACTGCAGCGTCCGTGAGTAACGAACAGTTCACTGGTAATACTCGCAAAAGAACGGATGGGTAACAAATTGTCAGCCCGCTGCACCTCGTGTTAGCAGAGACAGCCATTCATTTATGAAGCGAATGGGTGGACGGAGAGATTCCCAGCATTGCATACCACTACCCGTCATATACAACAGTAAATGTGTCTTGTAAGTTGTATAGAGATCACGTTTACGCATGTAATCTACATAGCTGCCACTCAGAAATTTTTAAAAAGGAGGAAATTCACGCGAAAGTGTACGCGCGCTCTCCGAAACCAGTGAGATCCAGAGGCAATATATACTGGAAAATCTAGCCTACGGTTTTGGAAGGGAAAACTGTCATATTGTTAACCATAGGCAACTGAATTAAAATGTATTTGAAAAAAA